TGGTAATTATTTAGGCCCCTACACCCGAGGTTCCTGGACTTCTACACGCCAGAGTGAGGTCCAAGGTTCAGTGGCTTGCCGTCTGGCGTCTTGTACCTCGGAAGGAGTGGCTTCGTCGAGGAACTTTAGATATAACCCTAAACCCTTAACCCGAAACCGTATATTATACCGTATGTTGCTGTCGATAACCGTGCTTTGTGGGATCTCATGAGGCATGTACGTAGAGTTTGTCTGGATTCATGAGTTGGGAGTATATGCCTCAGCAACACAACCCTGTAGGGTTTTGCGAGTGTTTGTAAAGTTTTTAAAGTTTTGAGCGGATTGTAGGTTTTATAGTGTCGGTATTCGGTTGAACAAAGGTGCCTTCATAGTTGGACGCTCTTTAGGTCCTATTCTCTGTTTAAACCTACTTTATAGGCCCCTATTCCCAGGCCCTACGTACAACCTAAAGGCTTCTTGGGCTTTCTGCTTTCGAGAAGACGAACCCTAGCCCTTACCACGCAGAAGCTTTATGCAAACCCCATGCTCTGTGAACACAAACTTGAACCTTGCGTTGCCAGTACCATGCCCATGCAACGTGACACTTGGCTGCAATGTTGTGAAACTTTTCAAGGTATGTTAGAAGGTGCAGTGCTGGTCTATTTTGGCATCATATTCCGATGGGGCCCGACCTGCTTGAAATTGGGGTGTCTTTTGGATCCAGCACCATGGAGGTGTCGTGGGGTGTGGTGGGGGTGTCACGGAGTGTGGGTGTTCCTCGAGGGAGGTGCTGGGTCATGTCATTCTTCGGTAGCGCCCCATGAGCCTTAGCGAACAAGGTTTTGGGATAGACACTGTACAACTGTATTACAGGGACGATAAGGGGATCGTACTAAACCCTAAACCCTAAACCCTAAACCCTAAACCCTAAACCCATGTTTTGCCGAGAGAGACTCTAAACCCTGAGCCCTAAACCCTAAACCCTAGGGTTTGGGTTTGGGTGAAGCAAACGATCCGGGCAGCAGGCTGTTAGAGACGGGGATTTTCTGTCGTAGGCGTTTGGCAGCTTGGGGTTTAGAGATTCAGAGTTTAAGGGTTTGGGGTTTAGGGTATAGAGTTTAGGGGTCTCGCGTTCCGGGTTTTGGGGGATTTAGGGGTTTGGGTTTAGGGTTTTTAGGATTTAGGGTTTACGGTTGCGGGGCGGCGCGAGGCAACTTCAAGTGCAGCTTCCCGGCAGGATGGCTCGCTCGAAGTGCTGCTAGCCACTGCTAGCCACTTAAGGCTTGAGGTCTGATGACGGCTGTTGTTAATGTCGCACTTGTTGCTGTTACACTGCTGTCTCATGCTTGTTACAACTCGCAGTGCTCAAAGTCCTGACATTCTACACACGCCCTCACCCAAAGCAAAGAGCTCTAGAATGCAAACCATCTGCACTTCGACCGGACCCTAAATCCCAAGCCCTAAACAGACCGTCCTTCGTGCAAGGCTACGATTCGGGGTGTAAAAACCTCAAAACTTTCATCTCACAAACTTGAAGCAAGGCACAAACCTCGAAGCAATCCTGACACCCCAGCCTTAAAC